TGTGTGGACTGCCAAGTAATTCAGCAAACATTTAAACAGATCACATAGAAATTAATGCAAGTTTATAAGCCAACTTCTTTAAAGAAGAACTATGAGGTGAGTGCTTTTCACTCGCCTCATAGTTCTAGCCGACCTGTGACAATGAGACTGTCACAGGTTGGCTCAGTAGATCGGAAAGTGAGCGAACACATACCGGCGTTCACTCACTTCTCGATCCTGTCACAGCTCTCTGCCGTGACAGGGGAGGGTCTGGATTCCCCCCTCCCTGCTCTGATCCTCCAGCGCTGACTGGCGGAATGGAAGGGGGAGGGTACAGCTGGCTCTGCCTCTAGATAGGCAGAGCCGGCTGTCACTCACGCAGCTGGGCGGATCCAGACATAATTGTCGGGATCCGCTTCAGCTGCAGTGTCTCAGTATACCGCGAGCTGTAGCTCGCGGTATACTGAGCTTAGGGTGACAGGAGGACGCTAGTTTGTGTCCTCCCGTTGCCCCAAGGAGAACTATGGGGAAAAGCCCTAACCCCATAGTTCTCCTTTAATACCTTGATTTTTAGAGACAGTATACTTATTCCCTAAGCTTCTCACATGATGCACACACTCAAGCATGTGCTCCTAGCTCAATCCCTGACAGACTGAGTCCAGGAGACTCTACTGCTGCCAGTTAAAGAGCACTCTGATTGGCCAGTCATCACCTGACAGAGCAGGATAATTAAAGCGCTTCTTGCGCTCCACTGCATACCAGCAATGACACACGTGAGGCAATTCTACACACAGAAGTGTTTTATTTTGTTGGTTGTATCTGTACAATCAAACTACCTGAAAAAAACCCCATATATATAGAATGGATATGCTGATTATAGGGCACTATGCAGATTACACAGTAATCAGAGCAAAAAGAAGTATATTTCTGGTTTAAAAAAGTAATCATTTGAATTTCTTTTCTTCGATAGAGTGCTAAAAAAAAAGAAAAGGGCAATCAGCTTCTAGAACAAAATGTTTGTGTTAATATACAAGGCAGTTGAATTTTCACTTTGCTGCAGTCCTGAAAGAGTCAAAAGGTAGCGAAAACGTATCTTAGTATTTTGGAATAATTTTAACAACTGCTATGGGACATTTTATAAGCCTGTTGACAGCATCTGTTATTAAAATATATAGAGAGTTAGTCCCATCCCACTGCTCATATAAAGATGGCTGGAAAAAAATGTGCCATTCCTGAAATAACTGTTTTAGTGCAAAAGCAGCGTGATGCATAAATAGCAAGAGTTACCTACCCACCATCTGTGTATGCAAAGAGCATTTGTTAATTCCTTCCTGGTTCTGGAGAGATGGAGCTACACGTATCCCGGTAACGATCCCTCATCCGCTCCCGGGAGAGGGAGAGTGCTGCTTAATAACCCAGACCCTAATTAACCAGCCTAACAATCTGTTTATACCTGTTCAGGGTCAGATCCACATTTAAAAAGGGAATCTATAGTTTAAAAAAAAGTTATTTAGAGATATATGTGACTGTGATCGACTTAGTGGCTCATTTACACTCAATGTGATTCCACGTAGTCTGAAGCATCTTCTAATGTAGGCAAACTGCAGATAGTTTAAGAATCTTCTTATATCCATGCAACATGTTCTCTCCTCAGCAATGCATTGCAAAGCATTGTGACAATACCCAGTCTGCTGTCTCTTTTGTGCCCCAACTCAGATTTAGCTTTACTTTGTTATTGGGGCTTGACTTTCCCTGACTTCTTGGCTACACCAGGAAATGCCATTCCTCTGTACGATGAGTGCCTCTACTGAGCTTAGCGTGACGGGAGGACGCTAGTTTGTGTCCTCCCGTTGCCCTAAGGAGAACTATGGGGAAAAGCCCTAACCCCATAGTTCTCCTTTAATACCTTGATTTTTAGAGACAGTATACTTATTCCCTAAGCTTCTCACATGATGCACACACTCAAGCATGTGCTCACTGGCCACTCTGGCATTCTCTGGGCAATGAAATGGCAGTTGTCAGCAGTGTTAATTTCGTAGACATTTTTCAGTTTTTTTGCCCATTTTTCAGTGACAAAAACTAAATGCAAACAAAATTAAAAAGGAGTAGTTAATGGGACGAAAACGATTTCCGCCAACAAAATAAACGAAAACGAAATAAATAATGAGAATCGTTGCCAACGATTCTCATTATCAATTATTTGCAGCGCTGCCGTCGCCACTCTGCTCGTCCGCTCTTCTCCCCACTGGTGCTGGCTGCAGCGGTCTGTGTCCCTTTCAAGCCACACCTGTATCAGCAGAGGCAGCGGGGACAGAGGCCACTGCAGTCGGCACCAGCGGGGAGAAGAGACTTCTCACTGCATTCCCCCGCTGCCCCTCCGTCGTACCTCCGCTGCCGTCGCTGACCTTTGTCGGTTCATTCCTCCTCTGTCCCGCCTCCTTCCTCCTCTATTGGATATTTTAAAATGCAATAGCCAATAGCAGGCTGACTATTGCAACTGCTCACTGCCTGCTTTCAATCAGCAGAGGAGGAATTGGAGAACTTTTTCCTTCAGTTCCCTCCTCTGCTGATTGGCAGCAGGCAGTGGGCGGGGGCAATAGCCACCCTGCTATTGCAATTAAAAGTATTTAAAAACAGGCTGGCTATTGCTTCAAGCCACTGCCTGCTGTTTTGTCATTCAGCTGCCTCAGCAGCTGAATCTAGTGAAGTGGAAAGGTGACACTAGGGGTCTGAAAGACCCCTAATGTCACCTTAAAGAGAACCTGTCACCTCCAATGTGCCATCAGATTGGGGGCTTGTAAGCCCCCCCCCCCCCATGTAAAAGCAATGAAGTT